TTCTTTGTTTTCTTACAACTGTTACTTTAGAAAGAGACAAACACGAATTGAACTAAGATTAAACTTATGCAATGTTTGATGAAACCGGGCCTTAGGCCCACTTTCATCAATGTCGCTTAATTTAAGCTTGGTTTAATTCGTTCTTTGTCTCGTTCTGACTGTTACTTTAGAAAGAGACAAATCTTAGGCGACGTTTGGTGAAATTGGGCCTTAGTCTTAAACACGATGACGCGACATTGATCTCTCGCGCGAGGGGATAACCGAATCTTCCCGGTAAACGACTGCGTATCTCCCGCTGAATGTCGGCCCACGATCGCGGCTTTAAATCCCTTCAACCCTGCTGTGGGACGTACAAGTCTCGGTCGCAAAATTTAAAAAGACCTAGTGCCGGTTCATCTTTTATTTCTGTCCCCTGAGAAAGAGACAAAGAACGAGTTAAACTAAGGTTAAAGTTATCCGACGTTGGCAATACTGGGCCCCACTGATTTAGGCCTAGTTTCTCCAACGTCTCTTAACTTTAACCTCAGTTTAACTCATCCTCTGTCTCTTTCTAAGGCCTGGTTTCACCAGCGTCGTTTAACTTTAGGCTCAGCTTAATTCAGTCTTTGTCTCTTTTTGTTACTTTAGAAAGAGATAAACGTGAATTAAACTAAAGCCAACGGCACACGATACTATTTCTCCTACTGGATTGCTTACGTGAGCCAATAAGAATGCGGAGTTTTAGGTCAGGTGACTTAAGGCTAAATCCTGATTGGCTCTCGTAAGCAATCCAGTAGGGAAACTCGTGTGCCGTTGACGTGAGATTAAAGTTAAACGGCGTCTGGTGAAACCGGGCCCTAACCGTTCTCTTCGAAAGAAGCAAAGAACGAGCTAAACTTAAGCGACATTTGAAAAACCGAGCCTCAATGACTTCGCACGCGTTCTATCGCCGAAGAAACACTACGTCGACGAAAAACGTAAAGACGATTCGATCACAAAAGTAGTCAAACACCACCGTGCCACTTTGCTCTCCTTGTCGCTTAACGCGCAGGTACTTGGCGTTAATAAAATAAATACCTCGTAACGACCGAAGAGGGCACCGTAAACACAGGTTCCGAGGGCCGTAAAACAGCGAAGACGTACTTTGGGCCTCCCTGCCCCCTCCCTCCTCCGGGAAGGGGGACAGACGGCCCCATCGGAAGGAACGAACGGAACGGGGACTCAAGTCGTTGGCGCTGCGCCGAGCGAGGGGCGCTGAATTATGACAAATGGCACCTTCGTCGGTCATCACTGGCCCCGCCAAATCGTCCCCGTGTCGTCGCGGCGCGCAGGTGAGAACGCGCGGGAGAGGCGGTCGCGTTCTCACGTGCGGGCGCGAAAAAGCGGAGCGTTTCACGGAGCGCGCGCCGAAGGCGGCGGCAGCGGCGGCTGATCAATCGTCTCCTTTCTCCATTTATGGACCGCGCGCGTCATGTGCTCGACTAGGAGGAGGCTAGCGGCCGCGAATGCAACGTGATCGACTGGGATCGAGCGTCAACCCCCGTAAAGCCCGTGTCCCACTACGTATTGCGGACGCGGATTGGATTGGGATTACGGATTGCGGATCGAAATTCAGCCAATCACAGCGAGGCAACTTGGGATCCGGATTGCAGATCGCAGGATAGACGACTGTCTATTTGTACGATCCGTAATCCAATCCGCGTCCGCAATACGTAGTGTGACACGGGCTTTAAGCCCGTATCAGACTACGGATTGAGATTGAGATTGGATTGAAATTTCACCAACTGGAGTAAAAGTTAACTAAAGCCAACGGCACACGATATTATTTTTCCTACTGGATTGCTTACGAGGGCCAATCAGGATTCAGCCTTAAGTCATCTGATCTAAAACTCCGCATTCTGATTGGCTCTCGTAAGCAATCCAGTAGGAAAAATAGTATCGTGTGCTGTTGGCTTAAACTTGGGATTAGTAAACTTTACTGCGATTGGTCAGATTTCGATCTAATCCCAATCTCAATCCGTAGTCTGATACAGACTTAAGGCCGTGCTCGTGAGTAACGTTACGATTGTAATCGACTCCCCTTTTTTTTACATTATCGTCTAGGAGCAGAGAGAGAGAGAAAGAGAATCTATTAGCCTGCAGTTTGCAGTTAACCGACGTTTGTAAAGCTGGAACGTATTTTAATATTTTTTCCAAGCTGCAGCAGTTCAACGGACGTTTTCCCGCTTACCGGTTGTGCATTTTTGGTTTACGCGAGCCAGGAGCTCCGGTTGTGGCAGGTTAAGGGCGAGCTAATTCGATTAGTTCGCACTGCCTTCAATTATAATTCAGCTTTTAACGCAGATCGGCACGAACGGCAGCTCGGCTTCAATACGGACGCGTACAGGGCCCAATCTACAATGTGTTTTTCGCAACATTCTATTTTATACGGGCGAGCCGGTACGCTTCAAAAATTTGTCGAAGATGCACGATTGTGCAATGTAATAATACAGTTTATCAACTCGCACACAGTTTTGAGCCGCGTTCACTGGCTATAAAGTGGAACGCTTCTAGACGCACAGAACACACTGTAGATCGGGCTTAAATCCGCCGACAATCCCCGAAAGGAAAAAAAAAGACAATGGCCACGTTCAGCAGAAAAAACTGCTTTGCAACTGTTGTAAAATTCGTGAATCTGATTGGCGTATGCTCTTAAATTCACTCAAGATTAAGAGAATACACCGATCAGATTCACGAATTTTACAACAGTTGCAAAGCAGCTTTTTCTGCTGAACGCAGCCAATGATACGCCAGCCCATTCCTGACGTAATCTTCCAAGCGGCGTAAACAACGCCAAAGACGACGGATACATTTTTTACCAACCTGTCCGTATCTTCGTGTCCTTTTATCAATAAACGTTTATCGACGTTCGAGGAAGGCGTTTTGCGCGTCGCTTCGCGGGGAGAGGAAAAAATGGGGGGGTGGGAGCAAAAGTGCCCCGTTTTAATTTTAGCGTTTAACAGGGCGCGGGACAAGGATCCGTCTATAAATAACGCGAAAGTCGCGCGGAAAGTAGCCGGAAAAGTGGCGCGCGTGAAGGTTAGGCGCGCGCGCGCGCGCGCGCGTGTGCTCGGGACGACTCGACGTCGTCGACGGGGAGCGCTCACCTTGGGATTGCCGTTACCGAGCCACGGTATGACGTTGTCGATGAACATGCCGATGTCCTGGCACTCGATGCTCTTGCTCGAGTCGCCGAGGTAATTGAGCAGCGCGCAGCCGACGTTGAGCTTCTTCTTGATATCCGTCGTTGACAGGAGCGGCATGAAGCCGTCCATATCACGCGGATTCACCGCCATGGCCGGGGCGCGATGCTACACGTCGTCGTCGTCGTCGTGGCTGCGCACGTCCTTCTCGTCGCCGCCTCCAGGAGACGTGCCACCCGCGGGTCCCCTCGCTCGCAAGCGGGACAAGGACGACACGCGGAGAGGTGGCCACTCGCGCACGTCAACAACACACTACCTCGCCGCGGAAGCGGGGGGATCCCGCGTCCTTCGTCATGCCAACCGGGGACGAGGCTGTTACTCGCGGACGGAGGGAAAGAGAGAGAGATAGAGCGCGAAAGGGAGAACGCGGGGATCGCCTCGGAGTCCGCGCCGGTACAGATACTGTCCGCGCGATTTTATCACAGTCACTGCGCCAAACGTCGTTGTCGCCGCCGCCGCCGCCGCCGCCGCCGCTGTAACGTCCGTACGTGCGGCGCGACCGCCGCGTACGAGCCTGATCGATCAACGCCACGGGCGAGCCTCGTGTCGCACGCACCACAGGCCGAGCGCGATCCGCGGGCGAGCGTTCGTCGCCGTCGTCGTCGGGACGCACCGTCGCACGCCGTAACACA